AGTATTTCCACTGTCAGTTGAAAAGTTTATCATCATAGTTTCAGTCTCTGGTTTCAGTCGCAAAAGGTTAATTCTATCGCCCCTTTGCACGGCCATGTTTGATAAAATCAAAGCGGCCCGCACCCCCGGTTTGAAAAGTTAAATTTCTGAAATATTCAAAATTTGAAGCATCACGTGACCAGCCTTTACCAGGGCCTTTGCTGCTTCGCCTTTTTCCTCAATAGGCCCTGGGGACGAGGTTGAGTATTTACAAACACGTAGCAGTACCTTTTGCATTTATATTGTGGAAAAATATCTATATTTTTATTTTATTTCTGTATATTTTCTCACAGGAATGATAACAAACTGCGTAATACCGCGTGCAACCCACCTGCTAAGAGACTTGGACTAGTACAATAACTGTATATAACATGAAGTTTCTTGAACAAAATGGCGGAAATTTTAATAAAAAATGTCGATGTTTGATCGTAAAATACAAAAAAACTGTGGGTCTGTGCGGGTGACAACAAGTGAATTCGTACTCAGAGGATCAAACACTATAGATTCATTTAAACTAAAAGTAGGTCCCGAATGGGGGAAATAAATTTGTTTTCTAAGCGACTTTTGGGGTCACAGAATACGGCCTATTGTGTGCTGACATTTTATGTTGTGTTCACTTGTGCAATTCTGAAAACCTCTTGTTGCAAACGTGACATTCATAAGCTTTGTCTCCGGTATGTGTTTTTTTATGGGAAGTCAAGCCGCCCGATTGTGAAAATCGCTTGTTACTAACATCACATTCATACGGTTTGTCTCCAGTATTTGTTCTTTTATGTACAACTAAGACATATAACCGCGAAAATCTTTTGCTGCAAACATCGCATTCATAAATTTTGTCTCCAGTGTGTGTTCTTTTATGAACCGCTTGTGAAGTGGCTTGCATTGACCACGAAAATCTCTTGTTGCAAATATCACATTCATTCGGCTTATCACATCCATAAGGTTTGTCTCCAGAATGTGTTCCTTCATGACTAGCTAACCTGTCAGCCTCCTGTCTGACCGCGAAAATCTTTTATGGCAAACATCACATTCATAAAGTTTTGTCTCCAGTGTGTGTACTTTGATGTCTAGCTAAGTCGCCTGACTGTGAAAATCTTTTATTGCAAACATCACATCTTACAGGGGTTTTCCAAGGAATAGCTCGTGGGTCAGTCTCGGATTTCACAGCAAAAATTGTTCGGATTTCGGATCTCGCGAAAATTTTACACGGATTTGCGGATCTTATTAATACAGCGGTTTGCGGATTTATCTAATATTTTGTCTCGGAATGTGGATTTAGCTTGCAATTTAGTTCGGATCCTGGATTGTGACTTCATAGTAGAACTTTCGGCGAATTCAAATTTAGACAAGATAGACCGTGGGATGAGCATCCAAAAGATGCAATTTCGTTGCACCCCTCGTGGAACTACGTAATTTTCACATGAATAAATAGATAAAAACTTACTTTATCAGAATCCGTTGCGAAACAGGTGCACAATTGGGAAAAATATTCCTGCAAAGTTTGATATTTTCCCGCTTCGAAATATTCGAACCGCCATTGTTTTGGTAGCAAATACGCATGCGCAACTCAGCCAAACTCCCACTGCGCACGCGCAGACTATAAAAATAGATTCTCATTGTGGGGTTTCCCCGATTTCTTCCGCAAAAACAACAAAATAAAATCACAGAATACTGATCAAACCGTGTAAAATAAATACACCCACATTAAATATTGTTTAAAACACATTGTATATTTTGCTTGCTCATATGCTAAATCACTTCAATTCATTGGCTATTGTTTCAAAATACCGTTTTAACGTTTAATTGTACTTTATATTAACATCCTAATTCAATACAAATTTGTGCGAGGTAAAAAACCCACCTGTATCAAACAAGACGGACAGTGGCGTGCTGGGTACTATTTTTCTGGAGGGGCGAGTGGGATGTCGGCCAATATGCGCCCCTATAATGTTACACTTGATAAACGAGAGCCGAAGGCACGAGCCGAGTGCCGCAGGTGCGAGGTTTGTCTAGGGGGGTCCGGGGGCATGCCCCCCAGGAAAATTTTTGAATTTAGAGTCTCTGAAATGCCATTTCCTGGACTTTGGGGGAAGATTTGACAGAAATCTGATGGTCAGGAAACAGCATTATAACGTGTCGAAATTTGCAATTTGGTTAGAATTTAGTAGTAGTACTTAAATTATGCAATGCTAACTACTTCCAGCGATTAATCTAATCCCAATTCTGTTCTCTACTGATCTACTGTTCTGAGCACATTTACAACTTAAAGCTCTTTTATACAATAACACACGCACCCCACGCACATGTATTTTAAGGTTTCTTTGCCTGGCTGCCAAAAGGGCATGTTTCAGCATTATTTCATTACTTACATTACTCATGCTTCTTGTGCAAAAAACTAAATCGCGTACACAACTTTACATCAGTTATCATAACTTCAACTATCTAATTTGCGCCGCTCTCGTGATTCGTGAAGCATAATAAAGGGCATAATATAAGGGCATAATACCAGAAAAAAGGGCATAATTCTCGTGATCGCTTCGATCGAAACCTGACCAATATTCCGGTAATCAGACATTGCCTGTGATCACTGATCATGTTTCTATATGAACGATTTCGTGTGAGTTGTGAGGTAGCAAATACGGTTAGGCAAAATAGTCTGTAATTTAATATGTCGCCAATGCGCTTAGTCTGTTTTATACTGTAGCCTATAAACACGTCTTTTCTTCGCGGAAGTAACCATTTTTTTTCGAGAATGCGTTTTTTCCCACCCACTTTCAAAATTCGGCGCCCCTTTTTCATTTTTGCGCCCCCCAAGAATTGCCAGCTGGGGGGGCCGTGGCCCCCCGGCCCCCCCTGCCAGCACGCCACTGAGGACGGAGAATATATAAATATATACATACAATTCACACGATCAAGGAACAAATGAAATATTTCGCTAAACTAAAGCCTTGGCCAAACGTAAGAAACAATGTAGCGGAAATATTCGTGATTTTGAATTGGCTTTTATTGCAGAAGCAAAATTTGCTTCCCAAAATTTCCTACCAAATTCAGAAGCATTTGATGAAACACTCTTTATCCGTTTGCCGACGCTGATAAGACAATATGACATACCGAAAGATTGGAAAGACAAATAATATGACAACAGTGTTTCCCAGTTCGTCCCCGGCTTTAAGGGATGTTTATATAAACTCCTAAGAAAACCTCTGATTGAATCTTTAATGTATTATTGAATAACTATGCAAGATGTTTGGCGCTTCTTAAACTGTGCGTTCCACCATCGTTTAGTATACTCTATGGATACCAATCCTGGATTTGGACCAACTTTTCCATTCGCTCCAACCATATTTTCCACCCATCTGTTCCAACCGACGAAGCCGGACTGCACCAGTGAAGGACCTTGAACTGTTAAAGAAACATGTCCTAGGCACCAACTCGGAATTCATCATAAAAAAAGATAAATTGGGAGGAAATATAAAATCCATAATTTCATTATAACTATCTATAATTGAAAGAAATGTTTTCATCTTTGAACCCAGATTTTCATCAGTGCAATAAAATCCCACTTATTGGATCCTGGCCAAAGGCTTACACGCGATCAAAACTAGATTGCATGTATCCTGGAATAAGCTGTCCTGGCTTTTGTCTGGTAAAGTTCTACTTCTCGTATTTGAACTATTACATACATTATATTTTTATTGTGACATAAGTTGGTATTTAGCCACTATCTAGAATAACAAGGAACGATTCGACCTGGTTTTTCGTGTCCACACTAGTTGACTTTTTCTTATAGATTTGCTGCTGTGCGTTTCAGCTCCTCCACCAGGGTGCGTTTCAACTTCTGAGACATGACCATACTGTTAACCCTGTCCATGAGAGGGATATACGTGTTGATAATATAAATACTGTGGATCCAAATGAGAATATCGAATAAGTAAATAAATACTGATCTACTGCACTGATAATACCTATATGTGCATTACCATCATTGTTCACCTCAAATCAATAATTCATGACTAAATTAGCCAACTATATTGCTTTATTTTGCTCACATGATAATACTGGATACCTGTAGTGTCCTAGGACTGGATTAAAATTAATTCACAGTCCTTGGACTAGATCAAATTTAATTAAGTAGTGATTTATTCGTATGAGATGTCATTTCAAAATCCTCCAATTCGGACTGGACTAGATTTCAAGTCCTCGCATTTTGATCCAGTTATCTGCTTCGCCTTGGACTTGAACAAATTGCGCGGACTTGAAATCTAGTCTAGTCCTCATAGTCGGATTTGAAATATTACTTCAAATATGCCATCGAATCCAGTTTCGTCGCCATCAAGTTCGAATAATAGGCCATCATCATCGTCGTCATCTGACAAATCGTTCTCGTCTGTATTCTGGTCGGAATAAATTTGTGCAATCGCAACAGGAACAAAGACCAGTACACTTCAATTCTGCTTTTTGACACGCACAACGTCTTGTTGAACATCCAGACGTACAACCACAGTTAACGTTTTCCAGAATTCCATCAGGAGCTGCCGGCATGGTCATCCATCTGATGTTGACTTGCCCTTCGTTCACTTCCCAACCAAACTTGCTGATTGAAGGGGGTGTCATAACTGGTTGGAGTGCACTTTTCCATATGTGGCATTGATATGATGCACGATTTGTATGAAGTAAAAGAACGTCTTTTGTGCATGGCATGGTGTGCATTGACCAATGCTGAATAGGTTGAAACGAGCAAGATTAACATCATCGGTAGAAAGCTGTCCATATAGACGACAGACATACTTTTCGATATCTCGAAATAGTGTTGTTGGGACCACGTATGTTGATCCAAGTGACTGGAAAGTGGACAGAAATTCTGGAAATTTCTCTAAAGCGTTCAAGTTCTTTGTCTTTCCTTTTCCATAGAAGGCACTGGTACTGTCACAGCCTTAAATTAAACAGGAATTTGCGTCAGATCTATTTTTCTATTATATCTATTCTAATCTAATCTGACATTCTATCTATTCTAATCTGAAATTTTAATATTTTCTATTATTTCTATTCTATCTATTCTAATTCTGATCTATTCTATTCTATTTTTCGAATGGTTAATAAATTTGCGACAAAACGTCACAACTGTGTATACCTGTGAATGCATGAAAGCCAATGAGAGCATCACAAAGCTCAGAGCCAAGAGTTAGATGCACTTTACCAACATCCAATATTCTCCTTTGGTCTCCAATCCCCATGTCAAAATACAACGCTGTTGGTATCGCTAACTTATGTCCTAAGAGCAAGATGAATACATCTGTGTCGGGGCTGCGTATGACAACATGATCATAAGTTCTCGAAGCTTGTTTAGCGTGAAGGAGGAGCCGTGTGTCTGCTTCTTCATGGTCGCTGTACAGTTCTTCGCATTCCTCAATCTGAACTTCCTCTCGATTGTTGGTACAGAATTGATGGCATTTCTTCCCATGACTGACAAATAGTTCAATATTTCCCATCAAATTTGACAGCCTTTCAACATGTTTCAGATGCTGAAAGAAGAACTCAATTAAAGATTCTTTGTTCTTTCCAACTGACAAGAATTTCTTGAACTGCCGTGGTACTTTCTGGTCTGCACCTAGAATCCTAACGACTGTTGATCCTCCATCAGCACGACTACTCCTTTCCATGTTCTTAATACTAATGTCGGGATATGTGTCACACACGAAATCAACTCTTGTTGACTTTGAATTTGATGCCAACGATAAAATTCTACCGAGTATGATCTCAACCAACTTCCCAAAGGTATCAGGGATGTGTTTCATCATCTGGATAAGAGCCATTCCATCCAATATCAAAGCATTATTAGATGGTACATGTTCGATTGCTGGATCTTCTACACGACTCTCGAGAACATGCATTAACTTGGATTTGGGTGTTTTGACAAGCTTTCCATCAACAGTTGCAATAGGTGATGGGAATTTTCGAAGACTATAGGTGAGAACGTCTTTCATGTCAATGTTTCTTGATTTGCCCACTGCAAGCAACCGTGATACAAACTTAAGGTCATTCTTCAACTCAACAATTTGTCCTTTACTGGTCTTTACTTTAGTTTTTCTTTCCATTGTTGAGAATGTGTTCAGCTTTGTTGCTTTAAGCGTTGCAAACAGATCTGGTTCACTTGTTAATAACTGTTCTGACATAAAGGTCTTACATTTCTGTTCTCCTATATCTTTTGCCGAGATCATGTCATTTGAAACATTTGCAGGAGCCACCTTTCCACTGACGATATTAACCATGCTGTCTTCTACTTCAAAAGGATTGCTCATGTTCGTGATAACTTCCACAACATTTGCCACTTCATGTTCATGGTACTTAATTTGTGTCTCATCCATGTCTTTACGTGATCTGCAATGGAAAATTAAACCTATAAGCAACCAGTTATAACATAAAAATCCAGTGTTTTCCAGGATTACCAGGGGCCATAAAAATCCTTAGCTGACTGTATAGTATACCTGTATACTTAGCAAATCTATTGTCTGTAATCTGTTTTGATGTAAAAAACATGGGGTCATGTAATCTACTGTACAATATTTTTAAAATGGTGGGCAAGTGAAGCTTTGTATTGTCCAAAATGTCAAAGTACAGCAATTCAGCATTTTTACATTTTAAGACAAACTAGTTACCTGGTATGTGATGAATTATCTGCCATTGTGAGACACTGTCTTGTTATGGCACCACGGTCAGCCTGTGACATTATCCATCTGTGCACTGCACCCCGATTCAGAGTAAATCCAACCAAACCGCCTCTCACCTTTGAATCACGATTATAGGTCTGTTCCATCACCTGGTCACATGCAGTTGACGAAAAACCATGTGTTGTCTGACGCTGACATGTCCAGTTTTTTATAATATCATCGGTCACCCCTAAAAAATTGGTCAGAAAACTACCTTTCAAACATTGGAAAAAATTGCTCCAAACATTGAGGGTTTACATTTTACTGCAGCACCTTTGATAACAATCTAAAATACAGTATGTCTTACCTGGATGTGATGTTTCAATACATAGCATCTCCAACCAGTATGCTGTACCATATCTAGCATAGTGAACTCTGTCAGTTGCGAAAAACCATGGTAGCATTGATCTAACTGCTGAGAGATGTAGATCCCAGTCGTTTTCTCTTGTTGCTCGTAAGAACATTAAAAGAACTTCTACCATTTGAATGTAATTAAGCCAGAGAGCAAATGTTGGTTTTTTCTCCGCCTCTGATTTAGAAAACATGGCAACAGCCATCTCCAGTTTTCCAAAATTCTCTGACATCACTTGTGGTAGGTAATCTTCACTTGGGAATGTCTCAGCTAAGTTTTCTGTAATGCAAAATGAATATTTATATTTACAGTTCGAAGGCACCTAATTCCTATTTGAGCAATGTTATTTAGTTTGAGATTACCAATCCTCAAATCATTAATAATTGATGAGCAATTCAGCCAATGGCAATGATAATCACGTATTTGTTTGATCACAAGATTATGAAATGTCATTTAGATAACCTGGTGAAACTTGATGAAAGTCACTAGTGTTTTCATCAAATATCTTAATCACGCATGCAAAATTACTGGAATAGAATTACTAATGCTTGGTTAATAATTTTATTCAAATCAGCAAGCGAAAACATTCTGTTACATCTCAACTCATTTCATTTGAGAAGCCATATAAACAATTCGAGCTTGTGTCCCACCTGTGTCCCATCCAAACACTCGAAAACAATTAACAAAAACACTCGCCCTAGGCGTTCTGGTTTTCACACATTGTTTTCTCGTGTTTGGATATCCTGGTGAAACAATCGCTCTTGTTGTTCATACGTATTTTACATCAAACATAAACATTAAAAATTAAAAGGCAAAGTAATTTGACATTGTTTTAAAACTTCCTCACTGTATGAATAAACATCTAAATTTGAAACTCACCAATCAAAGTAACTGTTTCATCCCTTTCAGCTGGTGTAAGTGACTCAAGGTATTGCTGAAACAACAGTCTGACCAATGCCTCGTAGACAACTTTGTGTGACCTAACACTTCTGTTGTAATGCTTGCCAGACATTACTCCATTAATGGATCCAGCTGCTACAACTTCAGACTCAATGAGAATGTCCTATTAAAGAATGATTGACAATTTAACCCATTGAGTGGCAGCACTCTCCACTTGACAAATAAAATCGTCTGGCATTAGACAGAGTAAAATACTACCTAAAGCAGGGCGCATTAGGGTGCATTGCCACTTAGAGGGCTAACATTATTTTTTGGTCAGCCCTACTTGGAAAAAATAAAGATATCAAAAATACTATACCTGTAATCCAGCATCTTTAAAGAGTTTTGATATAGCTCCACAGAATGACATTGCCATGTGGAAATCTCCAAGTCGGACAACAAATCGGCTGAGGTATCTTTCTTCCTTCCATCTTATTTGTTGAATTTTGGCATAAATGGCCTCATCAAAAACCAAGCACATATACTTTAAGTCCAGTTTGTTGGCAATTTCCTCGCTCCGATTCAATATTTCGTTTACTGTTGACAGTTCTGTAGGGGAAGCATCAATTACAGGTAGATACCCAAGTTTTGACTGGGTAGGTATGTTTCTATTGACAGCTAGTCTGGTGTTAAATCCTTTCCAATTTGGAATTGCATTGCTCCTACCAAGATGTCTACATAGACAGAATGCAAGGTCTTTCTTCTTGGCATCAATCTGAGGTAATATATGATGTTCTTCCTCGATTTCCTTATTTTCCATGGCATCGTTTAAATTAACAGTTTTTCTTTTTCCAAGAAAATAAGGATTAATGTCTTTTGATGGTGCTAGGAGGGATCTTGCCCTGGGAATGCTATCTCGTCTCTGTAACAAAGTACTTGTACTTTGCTCCCTTTGAATGATAATGCCCCCGGTTATGTGAGTTGTCCCTTTGCCAGATCTAGTTTCTTCTGAGAAATCATCATTATCCCATGCAAGAGTAGTTGGAACATCACTAACAAAGCCTGGAGGAATAGCAGAATCATTGGATATATTCATCTGTGCAAAGGCAGTCTCATGGCACAATACAAAGGAGTGTGACATGCAATGTCCCAAGCCACTCAACAGAGAAATTACTGAGGCTGAACCTGTCAGTTGTCTAATTGCCATGGCAAGTGCTATGCTCTTTGGCGTAGGATTCCTTCCCCCAGATGCTAGATTCACAAGGTCTTGTGCGATTGATGTTAGTTTGGCACTGTTCTTGCCCTCGATTGGCACATACTCATTTAAAGTTGGCTCTGAAGAGAATCCACAAATCCAAGCCAATACATTAAAAAGTTCACATGGAACAACTTTTCGCACATTATCCATTGTCAAATCAGATGCCAATGGTGGCCAAGGAAGATTCAGTTTTGGTATTTCTTGCACCTTTTGGCGAAGAATCAATGCAGCATTGTATAGAATTTGTAACTCATTGACTTTAGAATTTCCCTCAGTTTCCGTGTTGGAATTCAGATCATCATCATCAATGGTACAGCTCTCTTCATCAAAGTCCTCATCGTTGTTTTCAGACTTAATTGACATATGTTCCTCAACCAATTTAGTCGAGGACCTGTATATGAGTTTGTATGCATTTCATTTAGGACAGATAATCTCAACTGTTTTAGGGCAAGTTGACCATGACGGTAAAACATGAGGATATTCGAGTTTTATAAATATCTTCAGCCATGTTTATTTGCATAACTGAGCGTGTTTCCACTTCGAAGCATGTGTGTTGGTTGTGCGCGTGCGCAGTGGGAGTTTGGCTGAGTTGCGCATGCGTATTTGCTACCAAAACAATGGCGGTTCGAATATTTGGAAGCGGGAAAATATCAAACTTTGGAGGGAATTTTCTCCCAATTGTGCACCTGTTTCGCTTGGGGAGCAACGGATTCTGATAAAGTAAGTTTTTATCTATTTATTCATGTGAAAATTACGTAGTTCCACGAGGGATGCAACAGAATCCGTTTTCTAAGCATCTTTTGGATGCTCATCCCACGGCCTAAGACCATTGTCGGATCGCGGATTTTGCTTCAAATTTGGGCGGATCGGCGGATTTGTATTCCCGTATTCACCCCCCCCCCCCTCCAGTGTGTGTTCTCTTATGAACGGTTAAATTGCTCCACTGTGAAAATCTTTTATTGCAAACATCACATTCATAAGGTTTGTTTCCAGTGTGTGTTCTCTTATGAACGGTTAAATTGCTCGACTGTGAAAATCTTTTATTCCAAACATCACATTCATAAGGTTTGTCTTCACTTTGTGTTCGTTTGTGTGCCACGAAATTTCCTTTCTTAGAAATTAACTTGTTTATACAAGCCTCGCATTTCCTAGAGGCTAGACATGGTTTCAGCTTTATCTTTTCCCCGTACGGTTAAATGTCGATAAAATATTACCCAACTGTTCTCTCGAGTCTGCCTTTATTGAATCTTTATAATACTTCGGTTCTTACAGAATTTTTTATCATAACGGGGAGTAACAAAATATGGCGCCCAAAAATAATCCATGAAGTGTTTCCTCTTTACAAAAACAAAAAATATTGCAACCTCGTCCCCAGGGTCAGGCGAACCTCGTACCCAGGGTATTACCTTCGCTCACCCCCTGCTTCAGGCCAGGGTCTTTCCCTGCGAGATTTAGCAACAGATCTGGAGAATAATTTGATAAAAGCAAAAACATAAACGAGAAATTAAGTTAACGACCATCATGGTACGGGATGGAATCTTTTGAATAAAGAAAACTTATGCATCTTTCTCGCAGAGATTTGTTTTGCCAAACCAATCAGTGTTTCATGTTTTACGTTTCACTGTTGTGGAAGCCATGTTTCCGCTAGATGGTAACTCTTATCTAACAAAATTAGAAAATTAAACCACAGTTATCCCCAATCTCGTTCCCTGAGCCTACGATCCTCGGGAAGGAACGCGAGGCTCTGGGATAAACCGTTGCCGGAAGCAAGGAACCCTGGCTAAGACTAGCCTGCGTAGCAGGCGTTTAGCTGACGGGCGGGAACTGAGGAAACGCCTGCCCAAATGGCTATGACAAATTTGTTTTCGCCCATTAAGGATGATTGACGTTTTGTAATTAGCACTTTCACCCATTATCCAAACATAGTCGAGATTTATATTTAGCATCACGCATGCTTTTTGCTCGGCAGCTAGGGAGGATTGCAGAGATTTGATGTACTATTTAAAATATGAGCAGCAGTGTTTTATCAGATATAAATATGGTCTGATAAAACACTCACTGCGAATGTTTTAAATTACTTCAAAAACGATCGATCTAGTATAAGTTCATTGGCGAAATAGCTTTTAAAAAATTCGTTGTGTATGTAAAGAAAATCAAAGTTAAAGTTTATGTAAATCAAGGGAAATCTCTATCACATATAAAGATACACGTTTATGATTTTTCTTTGTATTTCTTCATAGCGCCTCATGAATTATTGAGTTTTTGAAGCTATTTTAGACAGCAGTCACAACACAGTCACAGAGCTTTTATCTTTTAAAAGGTTACTGAACCACGGTTGTTTAAATTAACGTATTCTGCCGTATAGCAAATTAATTGCAAAATTATAACAGTTGGGCATGTTTTGAAATGTTTTTCTTAAAATCATCATCCAACCTTATAGCTGCAATACCAAGTTATGTAGTCTCAACTATCTGGTCTTGAATTATACTTTAAAGTGAACAAATAACAAGACAACTATACGGAAATTTATATTCAGATCCCTGCCGCTTGGGCAAGCTTTGATTTGCAGATTTTCCGTATTCCGTAGGAAGAATTGCGATAACCGGCGTCTTCACCACGTAGCAAATTAATAATAGACTTTCTCTTTCTGGTTTCAACTGAATTTCGAGCCTAAATACTTGAAATATAAGAGTTCCCTCGAAAAGCAATAAGCCAATAACAGGCGGCATATTTTCGATACGCGAGCAAAATTATTATTGACATTTGAGTTACGTAATTACTTCCGTTAACGAGATTGACCCATGTGAAGCTTTTCCGAAGATTCTTCGGAAAAGAACAAATTAATCATAGGTAATTAAGTAATCATCATGGCGGACAGTTCTAATTTTGTGAGCTCTACAAAATTCCATCAAAATATCCCGAAAATATGGAACGCTAAAGAAATTTGTAATCATATAGCTTCTTCCAACTTAAGTTATGATAGTAAACGAATTAAATGGATTGGAACTTTTGATATATTGCAGAAATTTGTCGAATGCGATCTTAAATTGGATGGCAAATGGTCTTCGCCAGGCGGTTGTTCTAAAAAGTTTACGTGCTATAATCTAGATATATCAATAACTTGGTACCCCAAGAAACTAAATACACTCGTATTTCACGGTGAGGAAAGCTCGGGTTTGGTTGACGCGTTAATAAATGTGTGTGCAGAGGCAATCTCTGAAGACGACGGTTTATCAAACAATGTATGTGTGTCGGCCATACATAGTTCGATTGCAACTATAAACCCAGTTGTTGATGAACCCGAACAGATGTCTAATCACTGTATTAAGGACTTTGAACAAACTGATAATCATCAAAAGGTCAGTATAGAGCATGATTTCAAACTTGGCTGTCAGTGTAGAATTTTAGCTGCTGATTTGGAGGGAGTTAAGCTCGATATAGCAATCATGTGCAGGGACATAGAAACTAAGTTCCTTGCAGCTTTCAATTCACGGGATAGTGATAGTGAACAAATAAGTGAACTTAAACGCGAGCTTCTTAAGGAAAAGGAGAAATGTAGTCAGTTGGAGGCTGATATATCTATTTTGGTTCGAGGAAGGAATAGGGAGATAAACGAATTAAAAAATACCATTACCTGTCTCGAAAACAAACTTAAATCAAGCGATGTCATAAATGAATCTCTAAGACAATCGCTAATGCAAATTAATTCAGAAAAATTCAATGGTGTATTGAGTGCCGAACAAAGCCTGTCAAACCAACCTGAACAAATTAATACTTATAACTGCATCATAGACACTGTAAAATCGATAGAAACTGCAAATTCAAACCTAGGAATTTGTTTACCAGGTGAACCATTTATTCCCGAAACTGTCAGCGTTGAAAGCCCCTTGATAATTCATGTTTAATTGTCCAACCAGCAAGTTGTAATAGAAACAACAATAAACTCGACAACAAATGTGAAATTAACAAAGTGAAGTTAACGGAGCATAATATGAATAACGACAAAATCAGTAAAGCTAAGGTCTCGCGAAGTTACTCTCGACGCAATCTTAATTCTCCCCCTTACTGTGAGCCATTGTCGCTGAAATCGCTTGGAAACTTGCCTCTTATCGAAATATCCAAGCCATGTATAACTCAGAAGAAGGAACCCTTTTTAGAAAACCCATCAAATATATTGAATGATAGTACAACTAGCACTGAGATGCATGTGTGCATTGGCCAAATACCAGCTGATATTTCTGAATTTATTGTCTTAGACGGCGACGAATGCATGTCTGAGTGTGACAATACTAATAACTGTCCTTTTCGGCAGAGCTTCCCGGAGCGTCCCCCGCCCTTGCCTCATGTTCGAAGAGCGGAATGGTTGGCGCATTTAAATCTTGTTCGCCGGCTGACGGCAAAGTAAATTCTAAAGAAAATGAGAGAGAATCGCATGAAAATTACAGTTCGATTCTCGTTGAACTTCTTGTTCAAAAAATTCCTGTGAGAATAACCCATCGCGTATCAAACTTTCAAAAAAAAATAAATGCAAAACCTAGTCAATTAAGAACACTACAGCATCAATCGGTTCCAGTACCAGGGAAAAGTTTCAACCGTAGAAATAACTTAATTTATATTAGTGGCCACCAAACCAAAAAAACGCCCTTACTCTCTTCTCTACCGAATTTATTTGTTTCTAATTCAAGATCGCTGATCAGCAAGATTGACGAACTGTCTGCTACAGTAAAATCCTATACATCAGACATTGTCGTTGTTACCGAAACGTGGCTTTCTTCAAATGTTTCTAATTCAGCAATAGATTTATGCGGTTATTCCTTACTGAGGCATGATCGTTCCGACGGCAGACGAGGAGGTGGAGTCTGTGTCTTTGTAAAGGAATGCTTCCGTTCATTCATCTTAAAGAGATTGAAAGTCACGAATATGAGTCGCTTTGGTTACTCTTAAAACCTCACCGCTTGCCTCGTGGTTTAAATTCAATTGTATTGGGAATCGTGTACCATCCACCTGGAAGTGACGATAAAGCCCTTCTTTCACACCTTACCGAATCAATCGATTCTGTCCTTTCCACCAATCCCGGAGCAGGAATTATTTTGGCCGGAGATTTTAACCAATTTAAACATCGCCAGTTATGCAGTTCCTTTAACCTCAAGCAGTTAG